AGTTCCTGCCCTGTTTTTCCACTAAGTCCACTAAGTTGTTGATCCGACACTATTCCTTCGGATCTATTGTTATTGTTATCTGTGATCAAAACTACCCCAGCTGGTTTTCTTTAAACTCAATGCTAATGAAAGAGTTGAACGTGGCTACACAGATGTGTAGATACAGGGTGAGAAGCAAGGGACTAAAAATGTAGCACTGGGGTGCTCCTGTGTTGAATAAGGTGGAAAATGTGTAACCAACACAGCACCTGGGGTCTGCATGTCAGGAAGTCACAAGATTAATATGCACAGTGAGCTGTTTAATCCCAGGTCATTGAATCTTATTTTGAGCCTGGAGGGAAGTGTGATGGTGAACATGGTTCTGTGGTCAATGAACACGAATCTCAATTTGCTCCCTGTCTTGTCTAGGTGAGATTGGTCTCAATAAGCTAGACACATCAGCACTTGAAGAATCAAGACTGCAAGAAGCTGCACACAGTCACCCACACACAGCCAAGCACACACACGATACACATAAACACACACAGACGTTGAGGTAAAGTTTGGCTGCCGGATCTATGTCTTTGTGTTTCTAAGTGTCATTTTTTATACAGTGATGGAATCGGATGCAAGTTTATTGGACAACGGTAATGGCAAATGGACAGACTTTCTATTTACTTGACAAGCTAAAGTTTGCATCATTTATGTAAACAAGGCTGATAGTCATTGGCTTAACGCATTGGCTTAGCCTCTACAGCAGGGGTCGGCAACAGGTGGACCGCGGTCCGGATCCGGACCCAGACACCGACCTATACGGACCCGGACCTATAATCAATACATTAAAAGGGGATTTCAATTTTGACGGGGCGATTATATTTTAACCGCCGCCGACAGGGGGCGAAAGAGACGAGTGAGCGATACAGGGAGAGAAACACAGAAGAAGAGATGAGAGAGCGGCAGAGAGAAGCGGAGAGGAAAGTGTGAAGAGAATAATTAGCGATACAGGGAGAGAAGCGGAGAGGAGAGTGAACAGGCGTGTTAGCGGCAGACAGGGAGAGACAAATAATTACACATGGCGCTCTCCAAGAAGAGGAAAGTGGACAGTGAGAACAGAGCTTTTAACCCTGAGTGGACGGACTCATTCATGTTCATCCTGCGCACTGGGAGCACAGAACCAGTCTGTCTCATTTGTTCAGAGACCGTGGCGCTCAATAAAAGTGCCAAAACGCCTCTATGAGACAAAACACAAAGTGTTTGACCAAACATTCCCTCTCAAGTCAGAACTGAGGTCACAACAAATAAGCAGAGGGACTGCAATATAAGAGGGAAAGACAGAGAAACTTTAAAACTGTTCAATTGTTATGATGTGTAAAGACTGATATTGTTCTATAATCGTCTGAAACTGTTAAGTCATGATGTGAAACGGTTAACAAAGTAAAAGAGAAACTCAAGCTGCTGCTACACTTTATTTTATTTATCTAAAATTAAGCACTTTTAAGATGCACATATTTCAAAAGCTATTTTATTTATTTTCTCTATTTTATTTGTAAATGCAGCCCGAGAGGAACATTTCACATATCCACAGTATGTACTGTATATCTGTATAGTTCAATGTTAATTGACAATAAATATTGTTGTTTATGAATTGTACTTTCTTTATTTGATTGGCAGTCAGTTGTTGATTACATGCAGACGTTGATAAAGCTACAGGCTACTTCAATATATATCACACTAATTCATAAAGCAACTTAGACATTTTGATGTTCCGGAGCTTTGCATGGGGAGATTTTCTCTAACGACCTCGTTGAATTTTAGTTGAATACCCCTGCTCTACAGGTATAATACAAATACAGCACGTGTGTGAAGGAGCGCTGTGTACGGGAACAACAGCCTCATCAAGTCCTCAGCTACTCACTGACGCTCAGCAGCATCATCACTCACCTGCTCCACCAACAATGAAAACTCTGTCTCAATCGTTGTGTTTTTGTGCGTGTATGTGTGTGTGTGTGTGTTTGCTTTTCCCCATGTTTGAGGGAGAGGCAGAAAGTTCAACTGAGCAAACAAAAGAAAGAGTGACGGATCGAGCCAGGGAAGCATAAACAAGCATCAGACTAAAAGCAGCTGAGGGGGTTTGATGGATAAATAGTGAAAGAGTGAGTAGAAAGTGATAGAGAAGGCTGAGCGTGGGGACAGGCGTGACAGCCGTTTGAGACTCAATCGATCGACGGATAAAATGAAAGTGGCCTGTCTCTGTCCTGTTCCTCTTCCAGCCCTGCCTCCCTGCTATTGACAGCTGGATAGAAAATAGACAATGGCTGAGTGATGGGGGAGGAATAACCTGTATTTCAGAGAGCGGCACATACAGCAGCTCTGTGTGTGTGTGTGTGTGTGTGTGTGTGTGTGTGTGTGTGTGTGTGTGTGTGTGTGTGTGTGTGTGTGTGTGTGTGTGTGTGTGTGTGTGTGTGTTGTGTGTGTGTGTGTGTTTGGGAATTTGAAGAAGGAATGGGTTTTAGAGTGTGTGTTCTCATTAGCAGGACGATAGGACAGGACAGAGGTGACATTTCTGAGAGACAGGACACACACACTCTCACTATGAGGTTTCAGGGGTTACAGGGATGATGTCTGATGTGTGGTCTCTTACACACAGATGATGTGCTTTTAGCAACCTCTCAAACTGAATTAATTATTTGGCCGTCATATTATTTTCTTTCAAAGAGTGTTTCCCCGAGGTTGCTTTAAACACAAATTGAATTATATTATTCAATAAAAATTGATCATTTATGTGCAATCACTTTCTCCTTCATCTTTTGTACCAGTTGTTAATGATGCGTCCTGCCTCTTGAGGATTATTAATTTGGCGTCCTTACAGCATCCATTCTACAGACCTGCTGAGAGCTGGTGAACAAAGTGGAGGGCTATGAAGCTTTATTGTACTTGTATTCATGTTGTGGACACAAACATGACTCCTAATGAATGATAATGAGGCTCAGTAATGATGGGTTGCGTCATGGGTTGGCAACAGGCGGCCCGCAGGCCATTGTTGGCCCGCCAGCAATACTATTTGGCCCGTAATTTTGAGAATCAAAAATTAAATATTATTTTGAGATTTTTTTTTTTTTACAACATAGGACCGACAGTCGCACATTAGGGTTTCCGTTAATTACCGGTTTTTATCTGGTAAAATTCATTAAAAACCGGTAAATTCAAAACCTGCTGGTCAAAATGTCTGGTAATAATTAGGGATGCTCCGATCGATCGGCCGCCAGTCATTGTCGGCTGATATTTACTCTTAATAGTTTGATCGGTGCTCTCTATAAAGGCCGCTCAGGAGAGCTGGATCTGATCGATATGGACATAAACGCGAGTGAAGTATAGAGTAGCATGAAGCTGCAGCGTCGGAGACAGCAGTTACAGGACCGCAGTTACAGGACCGCAGTTACAGGACCGCACCACGTGACAGCGGCACGTGACGGAGCACGTTCACATGAATGTGAACGTCAACGCAGAGAATGTGAGTAATGTGAAGTGCTTTTAAAGTTGTATTTGTTTAACATTAATAACAATTCCGGTGTCTTGAAATGAAGTGTGATTAGCTAATATTAACTATGATAGTGTTAAGGCAATACAAACAAACATATGTTTGCTTATGATAGCTTCTAACCGTATTAAAGTCTCTAAAAACAACTATTCGTTAGCTATAGCTTTCGGCAAAAGCATTAGCAAAAGCATTAGCTTCGTTAGCATATTTGATCATTTGTTTAATGCAACTAGCGTGATTTTGGCAAGCCCAACTCAAATAGTTGAGTAATTTAATCACTAATTACAGTAAGAGTATGAGTAATGTGAATCATGTTGTTTTTTTTAAAGTTAACAACTATTCTGTTGTATTGAACAGCCATACAAGCAACAAGTGCTAAATGTCATCTGTTAGCCTATGATCACTCGCTGCAAAACCAACTGTTTTGTTTATTTGTTTAATGAAACCGTATGTTATGGTTATGTTATTTGACAGAGGCTTTTATCCAAAGTGACTCACAAAAAACATAAAATAACCATAATTAACATTAGAATTTCAATACAAATAGTTACATAGTCAAGTTACATTACTTATTACATTTTTAACAGGGTAATTACTCATCTGTAACCTACTACATTTAAAAAAAGTAAACTTCCCAACCCTGATGATTAATTATAGTCAGCTAATTAATTAAACTTCAACGGATGACAAAAGCATGTCAATATGGCCACTACATTAAATCAGCAGTAGCCTAAGTTCTGTCTTCAGTGTAAATGCTTCTTTAATAGTCATTGTATTACAATTTGAATTCATTGTAAATAATCTTCACTGTGCTGACTGCCTGTTTACCGTTTATCAGACAGTCTCATCATTTCGACATGTTTTGTAATATTGCATGAGGTGTTTTAGTCAGTTATGTCGGTTAGAATCTGTTGTGTCAGAATCTAACAATTAGGCCTAATTTATGTCTGTCTGTGAAATTGTTTCAAAATGTTCAGTTTGACCAATTAGGCTCTCTCTTTTTCAAGATGCATATTACAATCCGAGAGGGGAGATCCTTGCCCGACTTACAGCGATGTACTACATGCTGTAAAGACTTTCACTGCCCGTTATGTGCCTCAAATGTATTCCACCCAGCCAAATTGAGCAAGGTCCAAGCCCATTTAGAGAGCCACTTCAACCGTGCAGTTCTCCATGAAGGTAAAGTTAGCTTACATTCTCTTGTGAAATGCAAATGGAGTTGCAATGTGTCTGCATTAAAAGCAACCTGAATGTTATGATCAGTTCCATTTTAGCAATAAATCAAAACAAGTCCTATGATTTGTTTGTGGTGACCAGTTACTTGATCCAGATGTTTGGTATTCATAATTTACACTTTTAAATAATATGATCACAAAATAATAATACTACAATTCTATGTTCTTATGTTTAAGGGTATACCATTCACAGATGTGGATTTAATTGCCGACCGGTATACCATTTCCACTGCAGCTACTGCCAATCCATGCTGGCGCGCAAAGCAGACTTTGTAAAGCATCTGGCTTTGTGCAAGGCAAAACACTCTGCCATAACCCCCGTCATCCCAAATCCAGCAATCCCCATCATCCCAGATACATCGACGCCCGTCATCCCAGATCCAGCAATCCCCATCATCCCAGGGCGAAAGATGCAAAGGGTCCGTTTAGAGCCTGTACTCAAGAAGAAATGTCCCATATGCCATGTTCTCATGAATAAAAAAAATGTGAAAAGGCACATGGAAAGAAAGCACTCTGCCAAACAAAAGGACATAACCGCAAGTTCACACCTACCGAGTGAATGCATAGATCCTGAACATGGAGTCTATGCTGTCCACAAAGCCTTCCATGGAACAAGTACTCCTCTGCATGTTCAGAATAAAGTGTGGTGAGAAAATCAGCATGTGTCTTGTGAAAACAATGACTGCCAGGTGAACCTGGAGTTGGCATGGAGGAGTGGAATTAAAGCCTATCAATGTACACATTTAAAATCCATAACCTACTGTTCATCCTATGCCTCCCCTACTGAGCTTGATGAAGAAACTCTAACGGAGATGGTGAACAACAAATGGTTTGGTGAAGATAAAAAGAGCCTCTGCCTCGTTCGGCAAAACCTTGCCAAATATAACCACGTCCCTTTATCTGTGTACTCGAAAACTGGAACCCCGAAGACAACAAAATATGTATCCATATATGAGCCTACGGTTTCATATTACAGTCGATTGGGAAGAGTCATGGTGTCGTACGACACAAAGAAGAATTTGTGGCACTGTCCTTGTGCAAGGACAAAGATATCATGCCCACACAAATACATTGCAAAATGGCACTTATTTCAGACACACCGTGAACTATTCAGGAAAGTCAGAAGCACAGAGGAGGTGGACGGCCTGAGTGCAGCAGCATCAACAGAGGACGAACACAGTCATGATGAGGCTGATCTGGGCGATGTTCCATATCCACCAAAAGATGTCCAAAAATTGCAAGGCATGACCCAATATATTCTGAGTCACAAAAAGTTACCTGCTGTTCTGCCAGAACATTTGCGGCTTCCATCAGTGGAAGTGCAATATTCAAGGCACCTCATTCCAGAGGAGATGATGTGCCAGCACTGCCCAGGCAACGTGCCCTTGAGTGACCCAGTCCTCATCACAAATAAGGCCAAAATCCTGACCATGTCACATATTGTTAACGGTATGTCAATGATGTTGATTTATTGATTTCTTATTATAATACACTGTGGTAGATTTGTTCTACTTTCAGTAATCATTCAATGAAACTGTAATTTTTGTTTAATCTTTTGATTTCCAGATGTTTCTACCTACTGTAAATCTTGCCATCAATGTGGAGCCCACTACCGGTACCAAGAGTGGAAAGACGGCATTCACAATTTTAATGACCGGATACTCCTAGATCTCCCTTTATGCCTAACCATAAGGAACATGCTTCAGGTAATTGTTAATAGAAGCATAATCTGTGAATTCATAATTTTTATTTGGTAAATGTATAACTGAAATTTGACTGTACATTTATTTTGTTTCTCTCTTAGGTCCATACTGCAGTGAGCAGAGTGGTGGAGTATTTGGAATTGACTTCAGGAGAGCAGTTCCCCTCAGCTGATAAAGTTATTCACGGGTATCTTCACTTCGAAGCCCTTACAGAACATGATTACCAGTATTCTTGTGTGAGCTGTGGTGATCATCCACCAGTGGTCATCATGGACCTCCATAGGAAGGGGGCCTTCCATTTGTCAGGTGAGAATGCTTTCATGGAATAGACTTGTTTACATCAGACGACTGCACACTGGACTACTCCCTGAATTCACTTTTTTTGTAATTTGTACACTATTTCTTTAGTAAGTGACCTTCCACAACCTCCGGTGGACTTCAATGGAGAGGTTGATATGGAATGTTTTTGGGACGCACTTTCAATGGAAAGGATCGGTCGAGGATTTGTAAAAAGTAAGCAATTAATAAACATTTCACACTTTACAACTGCAGAATTATGTGACGAACAAACAAACTAACTAAGACATGGAGATAGATCCATAACCTGTTAACATTTATCAAGATGTCACTTAACTTCAACTCCAAGATGTATTGATATATTTGTGTTTTGATATTTCCAAAGGTCAGCAAAAAAATCAATTTGCAGTACCACCCACTTTCCACTTTTGGGCACCGTGGATAGGAAAAAATACACGCCGCTCAAACCATGTCCTCAACACAGAATTTGCTAAAGTCCGTCCACAAAAACCAGCTGAGGTCCAGGAAATAACCATCACAGAAGACCGATTGAGAGAGGAACTGCACAACCAGAATGTAAAGACACTATTTATTATACCTTTCTCTTCAGGAGAGATTATTATTTGCCCGGAAAACATGCGGCACCTCACACATTTAATGTATTTTATTGGATAGGTTGAAGTGGTGCAGACGTTATGCAGGGAGTGTGGATTGGATTCCTCTGGATCGCGCTCTGACCTCCTCCTGAGATTGTCCAATGAAATACAGTCAAGACAAACCTACGACAAGGTTTTCCAAAAAATGTGGGCGAACTCAGGTAAGCTAAATGTGGGAGCTATCGTTTTCATAAAGTTATGCTAAGGGGGTCTTATTTTTGGATTTCATACATTGTTTAATGTAATCTCATATTGACTCTGTGAGGATGAAAACAAACATTTTTACCAGGATAAACTGAGGCTGTCTTTTTAAAATCTGTTTTCTTTGTCTTTTCTCATCTCAGGTGGTTGGGTTGTGATTATGTGCCCGTGCGGCATTGTTTACAGTATCAAGTGTAACATTAGAGCAGAAAGCCCACGTGACTTCACAGACCTCCTGCTTTCTTGGAAACACATGCCAAATATTGTCATATATGACTTTGCACGTGGACTAGCAACACACATGAATCTCAGAGAACCAGAAAAGTTGCCCTTCACACCATTTGAAGGACGGTTACTGGCCCCAACTCCAGATAACATCACACAAGCAAAAGAGGGAAAACTGAAGGTGTCACTGCCTTGGCTGAACTGCAAAAAACTGGACCCCGACCCTGAATGCCACCCAATAACCGGCTCAGCTGAGCATTATGCTCTGTATGACCGATTCCATGAGGACAATACAAAGGATGCCCGCGATGCCCTGCGGAGGCTTGGCCTGGTCCCACAACTTGCTGGAAAAATAAATAGCCAAGTAGCAGAACAGCTATTTGCAAGGATGAAAAAAAACAATTACTTCCTAAACATGGCTTTACCAACAACCCATCTGTTCCTGATGAGGAATATCATCCACCATCACAATGTTCACAAAAACAAACAGCGACTGGACAAAATAAAAAAGACTTTTCAAACCGACATATCAATCAACATCCACAACCAGGCAGTGTTGGGTAACTTTTTTAAATGCAGTTTTCCTATGCAATTGTTTTATAAATACAGCATTGTGAGGAAAACTTCTGTGTAGCAATGTTGAGGTGAAATTATAGAGTCTGGATCGTCGTTAGCCAAAACACTGAGAGTTTATTTAAGAGTACATTTTAATACAGCCGGAGAGATAGCAAAGCTTCGACCCTTGTCAGGACGAAATCTGGCCAGCTCTGACACAAAGGCGAGACACCACGCACCAACATGAGAAGAAGGAACCACAGAAGCCCGCGCTTTACCTAATCATCGCCAGATGTCGGTACAAAGCTCTGTTTGTCTCGCAAATGCATGGGGACAGGAAACCCTCCCCCACAGGAAAAGCAGAGAAGCTTCTTGACCTGTGACCTCAACTTACAGAGAATCATATGACTAACGAAAAGCATGTTTGCAATAACACAGATTCTAAGAAAAGCTGAGAAACTATACAATCAAGATCGGATTAAAATATTCTCTTACAGTCCATTCTTTTTATCAATCTATTGATAACCAATTAACATTAGTCTAAGAATATTTCAGTCAATACTTAAATCAATAAGCGTCTTCAGAGTTGTGGGCTCACTCACATTAATTACATCAAAAGTAAAACAAGATTGAAAACACTTCAATCACCATGATTGAATACAGTCAATCATAATAGAAAAATCATCTCTCTTCAGTGTTTGGCATCTTTTGTCAAAAAGCACAATAATAAACACACATGAAATACAAAAATATAATAGCAAAATATATGTTTCAAAAATAAGATCTTTTATCATTTATCACTTAGTTAATCTCATTCATCAAACACAAATTCTAAATCAGTTTACATCTCAAAGATTTACTTCAAGGCAATTACTTATTAAAAACACAATTAGAATTTAGGATTATAAGAAATCCAATTGAGGTATAAATCAGAATCATGAGAGATCCAGCTAAAATTCCCAGTTAAGGTATAAATTCGCAGTGATGAATCGATCAATCTGTAATCTGTAAAGTTACAGTGTCCTCAATCTTTAACATTACTTTACGTTTACTTCATTACGCTTTATTCAAGAGTAAGGCACTTAGTAGTACATATATTTCATTCAAATACATTTGTTCAAAATCTGAAAAGGAAGAATCAGACATTTTATTGTATAACAACCTGAAAAGGAAAAATCAGACATTTGTTCTTTAATTCAGAGTATCAACTGTAATCAATATCAAAACATCTGTTCTTTATTCAGAGTATCAACTGTAATCAATTTCTCAATCTCTGAACGGGGGTACCCATGGGGCAGAAATCGCGATGGAGACCCATGGATCTGGAAGCTCTGTGTCATACATCAACATTGTGTCATTTACAGTCGAATGCCCCACTAGCCTCTGTGGGGCTTGGAGGGCGTTCTTGGCCACCCTTCGTATGGCTAATTTAACCACAGTGATCAAACAGATCACTAGGATTAGCACAACCAAGATAAACACTGAAACAGTAACAACAAATTTAACCAACCCCGCTCCCCAGGATCCAAAGGTTCCACTTAAATCCCCAAATGTAAACCCATGAGTTTCATGCAATTATTTTATTCCCCTAGCCGTATCATGAGCCATATCCATAACTTCAGGTGTAGCATCAGAAATGAAAGAACAGCACTCACTTCCAATCACCTTGCATGTGCCCCCCTGGGCAGCTAAGAGGAGATCTAGCGCCATGCGATTCTGTAGTGCTACTGTCCTAACTTCCTGCAATTCTTTGTGTTCAGCTAACATCGCTGTGTTGGATACATTTAGATGATGTTCTACAACTTCGGACAGTGCCACAATTTCCTGCTGAGTAACATAAATACCGTACCAAGGCAGAAATAGGCTAGCTATCTGTTGTCCTTGTGTAATTGACCTGCTGTTCCTGTGTAGAGAGGGAAGTATCGCTGCAATCTCATTAGCCTCTACTTTACGGATTAAAGGGATTAGGTAGGCTAGATAACAGGTGCCATAAAAAACGTCATATGGCACACAGCCGTACGCGCGATCCCCACAAACTAAGTAAACTCTCTGTGGGAGGGGAATTCTGGCTAAGTTTACCCTCACTATGGTATTACAGTCGCTGTGTCCCACATCTGGAGAGGTGTGAGATCCTACTTCATTCTGGAAACAGATGGACACATTCTTCCATTCATGCACCACAATTGGGGGAACATATACTGAGCAGTCACGTGTAGGGGGCTTGCCTAAGGGTATTGGCTTAGTACAGTCATGTATTTTAACCTCAACGTAGTCCACTGTTCTAGAGCCAAACCAGGGCACAACTGTTACCAAAGCTTCAACCAACAAAGATGGTGTGTGTGGTTGCATTATACATGTTGGACTTGTAAAGTTAGCCGAACAATTAGTCTGAGCTAGAGCTAACTGGAATCTGTATTCAAAAGCTAGGTTAACGTATTTCTTCATATATATTAGTTTTAAAAACATCAACCGTTTGAAACCGTCAGGCAGGTAATTTTTATTTACTGTATCAACAATGAGAGAGACTAAGCCCTTGTACTGTAAAGGTTGCTAAGTTCTGTCTTCAGTGTAATGGGGTAGGAAGGAGTGTAACAATCCTCCGCCTCATCGCTAATTCTGGATGCTTTGTCATTCCAGCTCACTAAACCGTAGTCAGCTTTCGTGAAAGGAATTGGGCTAAACATAGGAGAATGCATTGATTCTGGCATATTTTGGCACAGCCAACAGTTGCTAACATTACGTTCATGCGCGTAGTCTAACATTAAACTTACTGCAGAATTAGTTTTAGTTCGTTTAAAAGGAGTGATTAAGGCCTTTTTTGAAGAATCTACATCACCTCCTGATTGTTTAAGTGGAGTAGATGGAACATTTGTTTTGCTATCTAGTCCAGTAAATGTGCATGCAGTGACACCTGGATTGGGAACCTGGTAATCTGGTTTCCTCATTGTACATTTTACCTTATCCCTTATCAGTGTCTTGAACTGTTCTACAGTGCTACACCACAGTTCTGGGGGCATTTCTTCAATGGTGTTGAGAGCCATCCTTACCCCCTCTGGTGCGAACCTGAACCAATGGTACTGGTTCTTTGGATACATCTCCCACGTTGGGTAAACTAAGGACATAGGAAACACAATAATACAGTTAGATGAGTCACATATTGAAATTGGGCAGTTAAAAGAAATAGTCTCTGACTTATGATCAGGGAGGGAGACAATCCATCTGATTCTCCCTCCTTTTCTCTCTCTTTGTGTCTCTCGCACCATACTGAATGTCTGTGTGGTGATTGGATACAACCTGTCCTTGTCGCTAGGCACTGCTTTGCTTGTTGGTGTTGTTTTGGCCTCAGGGTCTGGGCCCTGAGTGGTCAAGTCGTCTGCGCTCTTAGATAAGAGCACCTTATTTTCTCCCTCAGAGGGGCGAGAGCCCCCGCCACCTGTCGTTGGGATTTTCACAGCTTCATCCAGTAGGGAATCCTTGGCCAGGTATAGTAAACCCAGAATGACGATGATGATGACTGCCTTCACACGCCAGCATCCGGTAGAGGAGAGAGATGACATCTGGAAGCGTGAATCCACTCCGCTCTACCTTGTACTCTCAGGGCTGTTCTGGTCACTATTAATACCTGGAAAGGACCTTTCCACCTGGGAGACAAAACATATTTTTCAAGCGATTTGATTAGTACATTATCACCAATCTGAAAAGGTTGGGTGGGCCCCTCTCCGGGCTGAGGGAGCCTGTCAGCCACCTGCCTGTGAAACTTTCTCAACATGTCAGTTAGATATTTGACATAGTTAGTCATGTAATCATCTGTCCACAAAAGAGTGAGTTTGTGGGGTATTACTGGGGGGCTAGACCCTGTGAACATTACGCTTCCCATCAATACTTTGTGTGGGCTAAGCCCTGTCGTTGCATTTGGTGCGCTTCTGATGGAGCACAGAACTAGCGGCAGCGCGTCTACCAATTTTAGTCCTGTGGTCAACATTGTCTTGGTGAGTTTCTCCTTTATAGTCAAGTTCATTCTCTCAACCTGACCTGAGCTCTGTGGATGATAGGGAACATGCAATTGCCATTTGAACCCTAACACTGTAGCTAGACTCTGGGTTATCTTAGAAATTAATGCTGGACCTCTGTCACTGTTAATCCCTGCTGGAACACCAAATCTAGGGATAACATCTTTGAGAAGACACTTTACAACTGTTCTAGCGTCTTCTTTTCTGGTAGGGTAGGCCTCTACCCATTTGGAGAACTGGCACACTATTACCAAAATATATTTGAATCCTTAGCATGGTGGCATGTGTGAAAAGTCAATTTGCATATTTACAAAGGGCCCCGAGGGGGGCGTTAAGTGTTCATGCTGAACTGGACCACTTCTTCTTCTTGTCTGCTGGCATATCATGCATCTATCTACAAGGGTCTGTGTAGCTAGTGTGATGCCTGGAGCAAACCATTGTGACTTTATAATCCCATTCATCCCTCCTTTTCCTACATGTGATTTGCCATGTGCAACATGTGCCAAAACATGGAGGAACGAACGGGGACAGACCATCCGGCCGTCTGGGTGGAGCCACAAGCTGGACTCAGCGTCAAGTGTACAACCTCGTCTTAGCCATAAATCTTTCTCCCTAACATCAGCGTGGGCTTGCATGTCCAGGAGGTCATCATTAAAAGAAGGCAAACAAATGGTTCCTGCGGGTTGTGTTGAGGGGCATTGGAGCACCATAGAAGAGCAGGAAACTGCTGCTTGTTTAGCCGCGGTGTCGGCTAACGCATTTCCACGCGAAATAGGATCATCAGAATTTGTGTGAGCAACACATTTAACTACTGCTAGCTGTGCAGGGAGCAGGATAGCGTCTAATAGCTCAGCTACTAACGCATGATGTTGAATAGGCTTACCAGCCGATGTTAAGAAACCGCGCATTTTCCACAAGACACCAAAATCATGGCACACACCAAATGCATACCTGGAGTCTGTGAAAATGGTTGCAACTCTACCTTCAGCCAAAAT